AGAACGCATTGTGAAGATAAGCTAAAGCATTTGCAATCTCTTCTGCTATCTTCATTCTCCTTCTCCACGATACTATCATATTTAAATTTATAGGAGAATATTGTCTCTCTTCGCCACAATAATAAACAATGACTGGATATTCAAACTCAAAGCAACATCCCATCAATTTCATGAAATTTTTATGACCACTAACCATCGATGATATAGCTATGTCGCGAGGTGGTCCAGAGCACATGTCTCTAGGGGGTTTAAGACATCTTCCCAACATTTTCCTAAAGAGAATCTTGCGATGATTATCGAGCATACCTGAATACCATTTCCCATGGAAATGTAACTCGGAAACACGACTACATTCGCAAACGTTTTGGCTTCTTTCAAGGATATTACACTTGCAAAAATGTTTTTCGGTTGCTTTGAGGATTTGATCAGCAGTGAAGAATTTTATAGGATTCGATTTGCCATCGCAACATGCGATGAGCTCTTTTAAAATCTTCTCTCCTCTCTCTTGGCCTCTGACCAACCTTTGTTTTTTAACAACGGCTCGTGACTTCTTCTTCTTCCACCAATCCATCTACAAGAACAACAAAAATTTACTTTACTTTGAAAACAAAATGACCAAGTCTGAAGAGTGAAGATCTCACTCACACTAACAATAAAGAGAATAAGAATGAAGTAAATTATTAAATATAATGGCGTTATTGAATAGTCCACAATTACTTTCTTCAACGAAAAGTTCTTGATCCGATTTGAGGAGATATTTCATAAAAAATTCCCACAGTAGATGACAGAGGACTAAGTCAAAGCATTAAAGAGAGAACGTAAGACTTAGTTTTTTGACAGATTATTTGATTTTGCTTGTTTGAATAGGAAAAAACACACAAAATTGAAAACGGTACCTAAACGCTAATAACAAAAGAAAACGTGGAGAATGGATTCCCATTTCGAAGGAGCTAGTTGCCAAGTCCAATAACTTCTTGTTTGGTTTTCTAACTCTTCTAGTCTTTATTACTAAAACAACAACTCATGAAGATCACGTGAAATTTTTTAGAACCAAAAGAAAATGATGGTAAGTTGTTATCAATGGAATTATGAAAGAAGTTTCACTTCGTTTTCTCTAAGTAAGCGCAGCACCATGAAACAACTCTTTGAAAACGAAAGGCAATTAAAATTGGAATTAATCTTTATTTTAGATTATACAAAAAATGAAGTTTCTTAAAAAAATTAGTCGACCTTGCACATTGGATAGCTATGCTTGCTTGGTCACTTGGATGTTACAAGTTAACACGTCGTCAGAATTTTCTTCCCATCAAATTAAACTTATTTTAAAACCAAAAAAATAAAATAAATATATCATCCTTTTTCATGCCTAAAATAATAATTCCAAAACATTCAACGAAAGACATTTTCTTCGTTGTAATTTCATGTTCTGTATTTTTGTCATTGTTTTCAAGCAATTTCCGTACTCAACTAAACAAGATACAATAAAAGTCAATTTACATT